CTTCTTCATTTAATCAACTTTCACATCATTAATAATTTTTCTTGTTTACTTAATGATATTAATTTTCTAATCTCGCTCTTCAAATTTCTAATTTCATTACTATTTTGCTCATCACATCCTGTTACATTCCTTGCCTTAAAAAATTGTTTGGTTCCTCCCACTAATGAAATTTCCTTTCCCTGTCATGAAAAATCTGAATAATTCAATAAAAAATGTTGTTATTCTTTAATTACACTTTTTTGTAGAAATATATGGCGGCGAGGGTTAGTTTAGCAAATATATTTTATTTTGTTATTAAAAACAATTAAAAAGAGTGAATTTTTAAGACCAGCAAAGGTATAAATTATTTGTGACCTCTATAATTTGCAGTTCATGCCACCATCCTTGAGATACAAATTCTGTAGCATTTTATTGACCACGCTTCTCGCTTAAAATACTTACTTAGGTTAATGTTTATAGCCCTAAACTAGTGCATAATGTTTAATTTAGAAGTAAAATTTTCTTTAAGGTTTTGTTTTCATAACTGAAGCTGCAGAAGGACATGGTAATGGGAAAATTTTTGGTGCCCATTTTCCTGAATGTAATTATAAAGTTTGAGCCTAAAAAGGCAATTTTCATTGCAAGAGACTGGTTATATCTTAAGACTTTATTTCTGTTAGACTCAGCAGCTGCCGAACAGGTAAAGTCACTAAACACTGGCAGTTCGGTCCAAATTTGAATCCCGCGAACAGACAGCTGTTTTCGTGGTTTTTCCCATGTGTAGCATGTATACGAGGCAGTTTTCCTTGGAAAGTCTTCCACGAAGGCATCCCTCCCCTTAAATAATTTAAACTGTCGGCTTAGTGTTGACTAAATAGCCCTCTGGCTTTGCCGTAATTACATAAACCAAACTTACTTGTGTTAGGTGGTCGCTAAACCAAAAACAAGAAAGAGAAGGAATGAAAGGAAAAATAAATAAATAAATAAATAAAATAAATAAATAAATAAAATGAATGAAAAATGAAATGAAAATATATACATTTTTAACAGATATTGAGAAAAGTTATATTTTATAAGAAAAACATTAATATAACATATATTGCAAATTATACATCGTGACTTTCAAAACATAGTAAATAATATTATCTATTTAAATGACAGATATAGTTAAATCTAGTACCATTAGATGGCACTACATTACGGTGACTTTTCACGATGTGTTGCTTTGCTCTGCTCTACTTTGTGGCCTCTCCTTCTGCAGCTTCAGTTGTGAATAAAACAAAACCTTAAAGAATATTTTACTTTTAAATTAAACATTATGCACTAGTTTAAGGCAATAAACATTAACCATTATTTTAAGAGAGAGGCATGGTAAAAAAAGGTCACAATATTTTTATCTCAAGAATGGTGACATGAACTGCAAATTATAGAGGTCACAAATAATTTATACCTTTGCTTGTCTTAAAAATTCACTTTTTTTAATTGTTTCTAATAACAAAATAAAATATACAGTCAAAAGTCGTTAATTCGTACACCCATAATCCTGGAATGATCTATAATCTGGACCTCAAAGCTAAAAACATTTGTGCATGCGCGGCGTTGACACATGCGCATAGGCATTTACGCGTGCGCGTAAGACCTTTTACCACTGCGCATATGCGTGTACGCATGTGCGGAATACGTTTTCGCGTGCGCGTTTTATAAACGGACGGTATAATCTGTTGGAAAATATAGCTTATTTTAAACCTTTTACTGCATCATCTCTCCTCCTTGAAATGTTTATTTAGTTTAGTTCTTATTTTAAAGTAATATAGTAGTTACTTCTACTTCTTTTTCTTGCTGCCACTGTTTGCATTGAGAACGGACTGTTTCAACCTAATTGAGATGCAAAAACGAAATGTGATGTTACGTCATCTGAAAAGTCGATTCGTGCCGATAGCTGATTGGTTGCCGTGAGATAACGTCATTCCTACTTCTGCTATAAGTATCTCGCGTCGCTCTGATGGTAAAGGCCCTCACAGGTCGTACACCTCTTATAAACGCGATGGTCTATGGTCTATGGCTCAACCCCCTTCTAGTTCCTGCTTTCCTGGAACTTGAGTGAGCTGTTTCCAGCCCCTTCAGAAGGATGCATGCAGTCCGGTGAATAAAGTGTCCGTGGTTCCGAATTCTACGGGATGACTGTTTCCTGAATAAAGTTCCTTGGTTCCTGTCTACGGGATGATTGTTCCGGAATGACTTCCTTCTTGGATATCCATAAGATCCAGAATAAAGTTCCTTGGTTCCAGAGGCTACGATGTGAGTGACTGCCGTGGGCGGCATCTATGTTCTTCAATAAAGGCGGCATTTAAAACAAGTGAGCGGCGATGTTTTTCTAAGCCGTGATTCAAACGGAGTTTGGCCGGTTTTAAGTGCTCTCAAGAACTTTAATTTAAATTTTTCAGCTGCCTTCTTGACCATTGAAGCATGGACTTATTGAAAGTGTAGCCAACTTCATTTTGAGGCCGCTTAATTACTGTTTAGGACATTTTATTTGTATTGAAATGCCAGTGTTTGGAGACCAGGTAAAAATATTATTTGATGAATGATGGTTATATTATATTTTTCTAAGACTGTGATATTGTTGAAATTTATTTTCTGTGTTTTATTCTTTATTTATATTGTTAATAAATTGGTTAAGTTCAAAATCTTTTATTGTCTTCAATGTCTGCACAACATATCTCAGGGAAAGAATGTAACATGATGAGATGAGTAAAATATTAATGAAACATAAAGATATTAGAAATTTGAAAGAGCGAGATTGGAAAATTATTATCAAGGAACAAGTAAACAAGGGAAATTATTAATCATGTGAAAGTGTTCAAAAGAACTCAGTTGATTAAATGAAGAAGGGTTATGGATAATTTTTGAAGATCCCATATTAAAATGTAATTAAGTGAACGTCGTCCTTAGCTAAAAAAATTATTTTTTATTTTGAAATTTAATTCATATCCCCTGACGAGAAATTTCAGCGCTTTTTCAATTTGGCCAGTATACACCATACATATCAAACAATGCTAAATTAACACAATAATTAAAAACACATATGAGATCTTTAAGAATTGAAAACTGAATTTTACTGATAGTGAAAAAAATAACTTAAATATTGAACTTATGGAGAAGTCGAGAAATTTTGTAATCCATAGTAAGTTTGAATAATTATTGGGTACGTGTCAGCTAAACTTAACTGTCGGCTTAGTGTTGACTAAATGTCTTGACAGTTAAGTGTTCCGTAGCTAAATGTTCTGACGGCTAACTCTCCGTGTCGGCTAAATGACCTGTTGGTTAAGTGTCCGTGTCGACTAAATCACCTGTCAGTTAAGTGTCCGTGTCGGCTAAGTGTCCTTGTCGGCTAAGTGTCCATGTCGGTTAAACGTCCTGTCAGCTAAATGTCCTTGTCGGCTAAGTGTCCGCGACTGTGCTGACAGATCAACTTCCAGTTCATTGCACGTCGTGACATCCCCCCCCTGCAGAGCAGCGTGAAATTGATAAACAGATTTTGGAATGGTTAGAGAAACAAATAACCTCTCTCTCACTTTCTTCATGCCTTTATCCATTTTTTGCAGCAATTCCACTTTTTGTTTAATGGACATCGAAACATGCTTTCCTTTGGCAGCTCCAGAATCGGAAATTCTTTGACGTAATCGAAAGTTCAAGCTTACTTTTATAAAATTGCTCTAACAGTCTGCAAAAAATAATATGCCGTATCCAATTCGAAGATTAAGGAACAACACAATCTGCAACATTAACTGAAATAGATAATTAGATAATTTTAGCTTAGCTTATACCGTCCGTTATACATTAAACGTGCATGCGTAAACATATTATGGCATGCAGAAATTATACAATTAAAAATGTGAAACCGTAATTTATGAAATAAAGAGCAATTATGATCTAAAGAGTATTATTAAATTTACAAAGGAAAGCTTAATATTTATTTGTTTACTTTATTAAACATTTCTTTCAATGTAAGTTATATAAGTTGCTTCGTTTTTTGTGCTAAACTCGCATGCATAAACATTAAACGCGCATGCGTAAACCATACAAGAAAAAAGTTTGTGGCTTTGAGGTCCGGATTATAGATCATTCCAGATAATGGATGTCTGGATTATAGACTTTGTACTGTAATAATTTTACAATTTTATAAATTTATTATTTGCAGTTTTAATTACTAGTACACCTTTTTTTTGCTATTTTTTCCTTGCTGTAGACCTTTCAGACTCAAATTTACATTTTATTTTACACAAATTAATCCGGGATTAATAATCAGGTAACTTGATTAATTCTCTCTCTCTCTCTCTATATATATATGTCATAATTTAATGCATAGAAGAAAGCACTGGAACTTTTAACAGCTTTTGATATCTGTCATGGCTGAGAGTTGAATGTGTGCTGATGAAGCTAACAAAACTAGATTTCTACAAATCACCAGTCTTTATTTTTGCACATGTCAAAATACATTCTTTTGCAGACAAGATATTTTTTAAAAGCATTTTGGTCAAGACAGCATAAGCGTTGCAGAGCTCTTTGCAGGTTGGAAGCCAGGGAAAGGAATGACTTAGTTGTTGTGCCAAGAGTATTTGTATACTAAGTATGATGCAGAATGTACTCGAAGCTGTGATTGGTTAATTTTAGTTTTAGTTACTTTTTCCAAGCAGTATTATGTAACATAGAAAGATCTTGAATTTGGGAGAACAGATGAATTTAGGGAAAGAGCATGAAATCTAGATTCACTAATTTTGATGTCTCCAATTATTCTTAAAGCAGCAATCATATTTTGTTATGCCTTACATATTTATTCTGTGTTTGTTTTATATTGTATATTTTCTTACATAATGTATTTATTTTACAAGCTTATGAATTTTTCTAATTTAGCATTATTTTGTAAAGTTATCCTTATGACATTTTTATAGTATGAAAAATTTGAAAATTTTTCATTCAACTTTATTTTTTATAATACTTTATTTATTTTTATTTTTCAGTAATAAAAGGTGTTGCTGATGAAGATGAAATGGAAGCATATTGCCGTTATGCACAGAGATCTGACAATTACTTAACTATAATTGGAACAGTTTTCAATAATTTTGTTTCAAAGAAGGAATTACCTGCATCATTAGATTACAAAATACGATATGGAGAACCATATCAGCGATCTTTTTACACTACCTCAAAGTATCGTGTTAATGGGCCAAGTTATGACACTGGTAAAATAAAAGACCTTGCATTGTATTGTATGCTTTTGTAAATAGTTGTCTGATTTCAATTAGTAAGTTTATTGTTGACCAAATGGCTGAAAACAACATCTTAGGCTTCATTTTTAGGTATAAAATTGGATACCAGGAAGAATATTTTCATAGTTCTGTTCATGTAAGATATAAATATGAAACTGTTTCCCTTGGGAAGAAAAAAAAAAATCATCATCCTAAATATCTAGTTCCTTAAGGAAAAGACTTCCGTAATAATTAATCAATCAATCATTTATTTTATGTGTCTTTAATTATTTTGGGCATAAATAACTAGTTATAATAAATTACAAACCAAATTAAAGTGAAATATCTATTAACAACAGCAATAAGTATTAAAAAGTATTCATACATTTATGTAAGTATTTAGAAATTATGAAATTTCGCACATCGAATTTACTGGGAAGTTGAGGATATAGGTAGTATATGGTTAAATTCCATTGTACTCTAATTGGGGATTAACTTAAAGTTATTGTAGTTAAAAAAAAAAAAAAAAAACACTTTATGAAAGATATATAAATTATACAGCTCTACATGTGAAATTAAATTTGGGTTAAAAAAAAGGGCTTGGAAAGAGTTCAGTCATCAGAAAAATAAAAAAATATTGAAAAGTAGGTATTTTCTGCTGTGGGTCTGTTTAGGAGTACACTTCTAATAATTCAAAAACTTGTTTACTGTGTAAGCAGGTAATAATTAGCTGCTACTAAGCAGTGATAAAGTGCCTGAATGAATATTATAATTTAATAACCACTTTGTTTAAGAATTCACTAGATCTGTTACGAAGATATGGATAACATGAAAGTGTGTTAATAAACTTAAGACACTGATTTAAAAGGGGAGTGGGACTTGATTTGTTCTGGAAAAACTGCATCACAGTAAAATTATTACACTGGCTTCATGATCTTATTCTCTTTCTGTTCAATTAATAATTCTTTTGTAACCGCTGTTTGCAAAATCTCATATTAGCTTTATCCAGATTATTATCATTGACATAATACTCAGTCTGGAGCTGACTAGGTCAGTCCTGGATGTCTGGTAACTTTAGATTTCGAAACGTTTTAGTAGCTGAAACATGTACAGACAGTTAAAATTATTTATTTTCATAGTTTCTCATAACCTGTTTCTGCTGTGTCTCATGAAATAGAATTCAAAATGGTAATTTTCAAATAATTTAATGGACCCACCAGTAGGTGAGTGGTAACGTTGCTAAACATTGGTAATTCAACCTGGGTTCAATTCCTAGAGAACTGCCTGGCTGCATGGGCATTTTTGTGGTTTTCTTCTTTCCTCATGTGTAACATGGTACGAGTCAGTTTCTTGTAGGAAGTATTCAATGAAGGTATTCCTCCCCTTAGGTAGATAGCCCTTGAGTGCTTTGCCATAATCAAATAAACAAATTAGCCAAGTTCTGATATATACCATAATAAGTATTAAATAATATTTGATCATACTTAAATCATTTTCTCCTGACACATGTCAGTGCTGTTTCAAATACCCATTTTTATCATCCATCGTATTGTCATACTTACTAAGATTCCGACAAAATTTTTGAGCATTTAATAGTTTAATACAGAAGCATTTTTACTATTTGAAACCCAGCACTGACAATTGCAAAAGTAGATGCTATATTATGTATTTAATTCTTTTCAAAATATTTTACTCATTATTATTTAGTTTAGTAATCAATGCTATTAAAAGATTGTTATGTTTAGTTACTAAAGTAACTTACTATTTATTAAAATATTGTTATGTTTAGTTAATAAAGTAACTTACTATTTATTAAAAGATTGGTATGTATATTGTTGATCCTGCACTTGAATCCCGTATGCTGTACTTCTTTTATACTTTGGTTGAAAATAAACTGAAATAGTTCTGTAATCAGCTCTGAAATCTAAACAAATAATAATAACAACAACAACAATAATTCCGGAGGTCAGTTTCATATCAAACAGAAAGTATAGGGAACTTCTGACTTAGAAAGTACTTTGACTTATCAAAAAAAAAAAAAAAAAAAAAAGTACATGTTAGATTTAATCCTAATTTAACAAACATTTGAGCTGTAATGTTTCATGTATAAAGTGATATGGAATGTTCAGTTTTTGCATATCAGTATACTGAGTGAATATCAGTTATGTGCATCCTTAGACAGATTCTAACTTGGACAGTGTAACATAAACTGAAATTTGATTATGTATTGGCAAATTTTTCTTCTGAAACAATAGTTCTATTTCAAAATTCAGCTATTTTTCTTTTTTGAATTAAAATAAAATTTTTACTCATTAAAAATCATTAACTTCTCTTGTTTACTTACAAGAGAATAATTCGAATGTATATGCTTAAGCTAAACATCAGTAGCTAGTTTTAAATAAACATGTTTATTTTTTGGTACTTGTTACAATGTAAGCACCTTTTTTATTTTACAGCTGCGGTTATCTTTTAAAAATCTGAGATTAGTAGATGTTTTGAATAATGTTTCTGTGTATTCTGTATAATCTTTAATCATATTTTTAAAAATATATGTACTAGTAAATTTAATCAGTGCCTGGTTTCAGTACATCTCAGTCTTTGAGTAAAATCATAATTTCAGCTGGAGCCCTAAGTAACAGAAACTCTGATATTTAAATTTATTATTTACTGCTTATCATTAATGCAATATATTTTTATTATTTTATTTTATTATTTTATTTACGTAAATTTGTTCATTTTCTTGAATGGCCTTCTACATAGGCTTTGCCATTTTTAATTTTAGAAGTTCAGCTCTTGGCACCATGGCAAGTTTGTTTAATTCTTAAATATTATACTGACAGTAAATATGTTGGCTTGTAACTTAGGTGTAAGATTTTGGTGCCAAAGTAACAATTAGATGTTTTTTAATGGCAGATGGGATAGCAATTGCATCTGATTTCTGATATAAATTATTAATATAAACAGATACTATAGTATTGTGATAGTATCTGTTTTTAAAAATGTACGGAAGCACAATATAATTATGAATGGTTCAAAAAAGTATGAATAAATGTAATTTTGCCACTGCTCAAAATCCTTAAAACTTCTGTCTTATTGATAAATGTATACATTTTTGGCTATGGATAAATATTTAAAAATAATTAAATAGATAAATGACATTTATATTTGTAGTTGTAATGGGTAGATCTAAATCTTAAAAGGTTCAGCTACCCAATTATTAAATGTTTGAAAATTTGATACAGACAAAGAAAATGGTTCATTCCATGACTTCGGGCCTCAAACACCACCCATTTTTGACTTGCCTTTGTTTTTGCGAATCATCGAAGTTGAATTATTTTAAAATTGTTGAACATTTGCATAAATTTTTATCATTGTTTAGTATTTTTTGTTACCAAACGAATTACTAGTGTGTCTTTGCAACAATAGATGGCGTTGTTGCCTGATGATTCAATTCTGGTTGCTATGGTAACGAACTTTCAACTCATAATTTATGTGATTTGAATTCTATTTTTTCTTTTTTTTTTTTTTGATTGCTACAGTTCTAAGAGTGATGTAAGCTGTGTCGTCACGTGGATGGCGTTCCTTCTTCTATTTCAAAGTGTTATGTAAAATAAACAGTGATATTACAGTTACAGTCCGCTTACCTTTGTTTTTGTGAACTTATTCTTAACATTCTGGTCCGTAGCGACCGGAGAGAAGAGTTAGCGATCTTTGGATATGATGTGATTTATTCAAATATTAGCAAGTTAAATCACTTTCGATTTGTGGATTAATAAACGTGTGGCATCTGTGGTGAAATCAGTTTCGATTTGTGGAATATTCCCGTGGCATGGTGTAGCGTAGAAACCTCAACATTGGGGTGAGTACGTTCCAATATTTCATCTTCTTTTGCTAGAGTTGTTAGTATAATATTTATTGTTATTCATAATGGCTGATTTGAAACCAGTTTTAACTAAAAAGAAGGTTCTAAAAAGCAATATAACAACGTTTAAAGGCAAGGTAAATTCGAATTTAGAACAAGCAGAAATTTTAGAGGTAAAGTTGTTCGAAACGAAACTAAATGCTTTTAACAGTGAGCTTCGTTCTATTTATGAGGAAATATTTTTGTTGTGTCCTGAAAAAGATTGTGATACATTCATTACGGAACAACAAACAATACAAGAAACTTTAGATGAATTATGGATAACTATAAATAAAAAGTTACAGAAACTTTCCAGTGACTCTGTTATCGAAACAAGTAGTGTAGCAAAAGTAAATTCGTCTGACGTTCGATTACCAAAATTAGAACTTTCTACCTTTACAGGGGAAAATATAGATGAGTGGATTAGTTTCTATGATCTTTTTAAGGCTAGTGTAGATAACAATCCGAATATTTCTAAATGTCAGAAGTTTCAATATTTAAAGGCTTCTTGTAAAAAAAAGGCTCTGTCTATTATTGAGTCAATTCCTATTTCTGATGCTAATTATGATATAGCGTTGCAACTTTTACAGGAACGTTATTCTAATAAAAGAGAATTAACTAATGCATTAATCCGTAAAATGTTTAATTTGCCAAATGTTTCTGATTCAGCTCAAGCTATTTTACATTGTGTTGATGTAGTGAATGAATGTGTATACGCTCTTTGAGAAACTCTTAAGCTAGAAGTTTCTGATCTTTCTGATGTTCTTTTTGTTTATCTGATAACTGAGAAATTAGATAAAAACATAAAATTTTGGTGGGAAAGAACTTTGAAAAAAGATGAATTAGGTACTTTAGATAATTTACTCGAGTTTCTAAAAGACCACGCTAGAACCCTTCAGAATAGTAGAAACCAATCTAAAGATTTTAGGAAATTTTCTAATTCCAAATTAACTAACTTCTTTAGTGTCGAGTAAAAACAGTTGTATAATGTGCAAGGAAGATCATTCTCTTCACAAATGTGGTAAGTTTTTAAACTTAAGTGTCCAAAAAAGAATCGAATTTGTTAAGAAACACAAACTTTGTTTTAATTGTTTATCTTCTCAGCCTCATTTAGTGAAAAACTGTCGTAGTTTACATAAATGTATGACGTGTAAGTTACCTCATCATACTGTTCTTCATTTTGATCGAAATATCAAAACTAGTGAAAATGAGAAACCAAAACAAACGTCCTCACTCTCCCCCAGAGCCGAAGTGTTCTTACCAAAGAATGAAGTCGTTACAAATGCCACAACATGTACAGGACAATTTAGTTATTCTAAAGGTGAATCAAAACGTGTATTACTGTGTACTGCTCTCATTAAAGTTAGTGATTCCAATGGTAAAGCCATCCCTTGCAGGGCTTTACTAGACTGTGACTGTGGCAGTGAAGCCAGCTTTATAAGTGAAGAGTGTGTCAGTAAAACTAAAGTTAGGTAGATTTAACAAAAAAATTGAAGTATCGTGCCTTGGTTCGTTCAACACTGTAACAAGTGGAGAAGTGGAATTAATTTTTACCCCGCACTTTGAGTCAAATTCCAAATTTCGAACATATGCATTCGTGATTCCAAGGATAACTTCAGATGTGCCTAACGTGTCGCTTCCTTCTAAAATTGCGAATCATTTTGACGATCTAGTCTTAGCTGATCCTAAGTTCTATGAAAGAAAACCTATAGATATTTTGTTAGGTGTAAATGTATTTTTTACTATGCTTAAGGGAGACATCATAAAGAGAGGAGAATCATTACCCTTTGCAATTTGTTCTCAGTTGGGTTGGATCATTTCCGGGAACACTATTACTGATGATTCGAATCTAACTAACACTTTTACAGTGAATAATCTTCAGTTGAATACAAACGAATTAGTTGAAAGATTTTGGTCTTTAGACTCCATTCCGGAAGTCAAACGTATTTCAAGTGAAGATAAAAAATGTGAAGAGTTCTTTAAAACAACACACTTCCGTGATCAAAATGGTCGTTATGTAGTGAAACTTCCATTTAAAGATAACCCTTCAAGGTTGGGTAATTCTAAAGATCTTGCTTTACAAAGATTTAAATCTTTAGAGAGAAATCTCTTAAGATCTCCTGATACATATGATATGTATAAACATTTCATGAAGGAATACTTGGATCTCGGGCACATGGAACCAGTCCGTAGTTCAGAGTCCCCAAGTCAGGCATACTACATGCCACATCATGCAGTAATTAAGGAATCTAGCTCTACGAGTAAAATACGTGTGGTATTTAATGCTACTAGTAAGTCTTCATCAGGACTATCTCTTAACGACATATTGATGACAGGTCCCAGAATACAACAAGAGCTGTTTCCAGTTTTGGTCAAATTCAGATGTTACCCAGTAGTTGTCACAGCTGATATCATGAAAATGTTTAGACAAATTCTAGTTAATGAAGAGGATAGAACCTTTCAAACTTTAACTTTAACGGGACAGTCCAAGTGATCCTATTCAAGAATTTCGACTTAATACTGTCACATACGGCACTGCCTCGGCTCCATATTTGGCTACTCGTGCTTTATACCAACTTGCTTACGATGAGCAGAATAACTATCCTTTAGCTTCGAAGGCTGTACTTCAAAATTTTTTTTTGTAGATGATTGTTTGGTAGGTGCTCAAAACACTGAAGAGTGCAAAAATCTAGTAAATCAACTCTTGCAAATGTTAGAACGTGGAGGATTTCTTCTGCGTAAATGGTCATCCAATGACTTGTCAGTGTTAGAGAATATACCCCAGGAGTTGAGAAATGATTCTGAGGCTATGAAAATTCAAGACGATAGCTCAATCAAAGTTTTAGGAATTAATTGGAACCCCCGTGAAGACTACTTTAACTTTTCCGTATCCATTTCTGGTGAAAAGTTTAAATACTCTAAAAGAGATATCCTTTCTGATTTAGCGAAAATATTTGACCCATTGGGTTGGCTTGCTCCTTGTATTATTTATGTCAAAATCTTGATACAAGACATGTGGAAACTCCATTTATCGTGGGATGAACCTGTTAGTGATGAGATTGCTTGCTAACAAATGGAAGATTTTTCCGAAATGATTTACATCTTATTCAACAATTAAAAATACCGAGATTTGTTTTGATTCCTGACGTGAACTATATTGATATCTGTGCTTTTTTGTGATGCCTCCGAGAAAGGCTACTACTGTGCAGCAATTTATTTGCGTTCAGTGTCACGTAATTTGGACATCAAAGTAACACTCTTAACATCAAAAACAAGAGTTGCCCCTCTGAAAGTGCAATCATTACCTCGATTAGAGTTATGCGCCGCAGTTTTGTTAGTGAATTTGCTTAAATCAGTGTTAGAACATTTAGAGTTTCCTATACGTAAAGTTTTGGCCTGGACAGATTCAACTGTTGTACTGTCCTGGATTTCTGCAGAACCATACCGTTGGGTTCCCTTTGTTGCAAACCGCGTTGCTAAAATACAGAATACAATTCCTAATGTAAGGTGGAACCATATCAATGGAAAGCGGAACCCAGCTGATTCAGGTACAAGAGGAATGTTTCCAGCAGAATTTCTGAAGTGTGAGCGATGGTTCATTGGACCTACTTGGTTATATTCACAAGATTTCGAACCATGTCCTGACAGTGAACATCTTGCTGATGTAGATTATGAAGGAGTTCGTAGAGAAGAAAGAAAAACTTGCATTTCAGTATCTTGTGCGGTAAAGGAAAATGACATTTTTAAATTTTTAAACGGTATTCATCTTGGACAAAATTACGTCGTATAGTTGCATTATGCCTAAGATTTATTTACAACTGTCGAAACTTCTCCGAAAATCGTTTGAGAGGTTTTCTGACAACCGATGAGCTTCGATTAGCTACAAAAACAGTGATAAAAAATGTCCAAGAATCATATTTTCCTCAAGAGCTCTCTTATTTAAAAACATCGAGAGAATTAAAAGGTGTGAGCAGCCGAGTAATACAATTAACTCCCTTCCTTGATGAAGAAGGCGTCATTCGAGTAGGTGGTCGCTTAAAAAATGCAAACATTCCTGAAAATAGCAAACATCCTATTTTGCTTCCAAAGGAAGGACATGTCACTAATCTCATCGTAACTCATTACCATGTCAATTATTTGCATGCTAGTCAAGAGTTATTAATAAGCACTTTACGAATGCAGTTTTGGATTCTTGCGGTGAGAAGCGTAGTGAGAAAGATTATTCACAGATGTATTCCTTGTATTAGAAATCGAGGCAAGACTGTGACCCAGATAATGGGTGATTTACCCTCGCCCAGAGTTCAACCATCAAGACCTTTTGCAGTCACCGGTGTTGATTATGCTGGTCCATATTCTATTAAGTCCCAAGTTGGGAGAAGAACAAAAACTTTCAAGTGTTACGCATCCATTTTTGTGTCTTTTAACAAAAGCTCACTTGGAGTTAGTCAGTGATTTATCAACTTCAACGTTTTTAGCAGCTCTAAAAAGATTTACGCCCGACGAGGCAAACCATCTAAAATTTCGAGTGACTGGTGCTACTTACTAACTTCAAAGGTGCTAGTAAGGAACTGAAGGAGATTTATAAAAATGCAGCTCGCATTGAGAAAAACAGTGAATTATGTGACTACATTACCTCAGAAGGTATAACTTGGTTATTTAATCCTCCGACATCTCCTCACTACGGTGGCTTGTGGGAATCTAATGTGAAATCCATGAAATTTCATCTTAAACGAGTATTAGGATCCACACTTCTAACTTACGAGGAATTTTTAACAGTGCTTACACAAGTGGAAGCGTGTATGAATTCCCGTCCTCTTTGTGCGATGTCTAGTGATCCAAACGACTTTAGTGCATTGACTCCAGGTCATTTTCTGATTGGAGCCCCTTTGCTTGCCATTCCGGAATCTGACTTGAGTGATGTGAAATCTTCACGACTTAAACGTTGGTCTCTAGTTCAACAGACTGTGCAACATTTTTGGAAACGATGGTGTGCAGAATATTTAACAACACTTCAACAACGTGCTAAGTGGTTTCGTGCGTCTCCAAATCTAAAATGTGGTGATTTAGTTCTGATCAAAAACGAACAACTGCCTCCAAACCAATGGAAAATTGGAAGAATTGCCTTAATTCATCCAGGTAGTGATAAAAAAGTTCGAGTGGCTACAATCCATACAGCCGCTGGTGATTTCAAACGAGCTGTTACTAAATTGTGTCTTATCCCCAATCATGACTAATATGAACTATGAACTATTGACTTTTTTCATATTATTGAACTTTAATTTTAGTTATATTTTCAATTAATTTTTTTTTTTTGTTAATGTTATTATGTATGCTTTAACTATTTGTCTTTTTTGAACCCTTAGAAGGCTTCAAGGCCGGGGGCTATGTTTAGTATTTTTTGTTACCAAACGAATTACTAGTGTGTCTTTGCAACAATTAGATGGCGTTGCCGCCTGATGATTCAATTCTGGTTGCTATGGTAACGAACTTTCAACTCATAATTTATGTGATTTGTATTCTATTCTTTTTTTGTTTTTATTAATTGCTACTGTGCTTGGAGTGATGTGAGCTGTGTCGTCACGTGGACGGCATTCCTTCTATTTCAAAGTGTTATGTAAAATAAACAAGTGATATATTACAGTCCGCTTACCTTTTTTTGTGAACAAATCATAACAAGTCATCAAAAAAGACGAATCCGAGAACGGCCAGAAGAACTTCAAACTATGTAGCACGGGAACGATCCCGAAAAGATTTCTCGGCCGGGGGGCTGTTTGACCGTATTGGAGGGAAAGCTTCGGGCTGTAGAACTTCATGGATATACCGGTTGCTGTTCAGATTGCCCACAATTCGTAGCAATTGAGATCGTCTATGATATGCTATGGCGCCCCAAACCATAACCTCCGGGTGTTCGTCCACTGTGGCGTTCGATAATGCACTCCGGAAGGTGGCGTTCACCGGCATAGCGTCTGACACGAATGCGGCCATCATGGTACCACAAATTAAAGCGGGATTCGTCAGAAAACACGACATGCTGCCAATCAACACGCCAGTCTCTATGCTGATTGGCCCATTGTAGCCGCATGGCGGCGATGGTCGTGCGTTAGGGGGATCCTGTATAAAGGAGTCCGTGCGCGCAGTTCCACACTGCAGCATACGTCTACGAATTGATGAAGCACACAATGAAACACCTGTAGCTATTGACCACAGTGCTGCCAATTGTCTAGAGGAAGCTGTACGGTCCGTCCGCGCCATGTGGACCAGGTGTCTATCATCGCGAGCTGACGTCACATTTCGGGGTCCACTCCCGGATTTCCGAGTTGTTCGACACTCGTCCGTCCACTGCTTCCAAACGCGCATCACTGTGCTGCTGTTACGCTGCACACGAGAGGCTACTGCACGATACGACAATCCAGCTTCACGAAGGCCGATGATTCTCCCTCGTTCAAACTCTGTAAGTTGTTCAAATCTCGCTCTCTTTCATCGACGAGGCATAAGTACAGATTGAGTTAACGTTTACCACTAGCAGATAACCACCGATAACCATACACGCCTCGCTACAGCCGTCTATTTATTCGGATCCATCAGCCGTTCAGAGGGCGCTGCTCAGCATACGCATGCGCTACGGATTTGCAATTCTAATCATTTGCATATCATGCGCTACTTTGCATTTCCCTGAAAATTTCAGCTCACTCGCATAAGTCCTTCATGGTGTTGCAATTTTCACAAATGTGAGTGTATTTTAAGTAGTGTTTTTTAAATTAATTATATTTTAATTTAACGATCGTGATTTTGAGAGTTATATGTTTGTAGTATTTTGGAATACGTTTGAGTAGAAGTAAATGTGCATGGAAAGAATTTAAGTATTTGACACTAAGTATTTGGAACCATTTTTAATGTTTGCGTTAGAAATTGGAGGGAGGTTTATAATAGATAATTTAGAGGGAAAAGTTTTTGGATATTTTATTTATTTTATACGTGCAAATGTTCATCCTTGGAAAGGGCATATACTTTTTCGCGATCAGGTAATTTCATAAATGTCCTTTTTACCGAATTTAAAGATTCACAAAATTTTCATCCATTTTTGTGAAATTTTTCTAATTTATGAGAAAAAAGCAGTGTACATGGATATAGTGAAGAGTGTGCGCAATGCCATTTTTGTGCAATTCTGGGTTTTTTTTTAAGTAAAAATAAGTCGACGTGTACATGGTTTAATTATATTTTAATTAAATGATAGTTATTTTGTGAATTATATGTTTGTAGCAATTTGGTATACGTTTGAGTGGAAGTAAACGTGCATGGAAATAATTTAAATATTTGACACTAAGTATTTGTAACCATTTTTAATGTTTTGTTATGAATTCCTTGGTGACGTTTATAATAGATAATTTAGAGGTAAAAGTTTTTGGATATTTTATTTATATTTTACGTGGAAATGTTCATCCTTGGATATGGTACATAATTTTTCGCGATCAGGTAATTTCATATATGTGCTTTTTATCGAGTTTAAAGATTCACAAAATTTTCCTGCATTTTCGTGCAAATTTTTGTAATTTATGAGAAAATAGCAGTTTAGATGGATAAAGTCAAGAGTGTGCGCAATGCCATTTTGTGCAATTCTGGGAAGGTTTATTAAGTAAAAATAAGTCGACGTATTCATGGTTACTCTGTATGTGTGATTTTGAAAAACGCGGCAAGGAGTTTGCGATTCTGCACTTTTTCCCAATTTTGAAGTTAATATTTGTCATGATTAAGGCGTTTTGTTCCATAAAATTTCTAGCATAAGTGTAATTCGGCTAGTAGATTGTTGGAAAAAGTGTTGAGTAAAAAAATTGCCAAGTTACCATAATCCAAAGATCGACTGTTATGTTAATTTATTAAAGTGAGGTGTGCATAGTTCGTAGATTCCTTCACTGCCTAGATTGTGCAATTCGTAGATTATTATTATTTTTTTTTTACGTTTAATCAGAAAGCTGTGTACATGGTATTCTTTGAAATTTATTGTTGTTATGTTAATTTATTTAAGCTAGATGTGTGTGGCTCATAGATTCATTCGTTGCATGAATTGTGCAATTTTGTGATTTTTTTAAAGTTAAAACATATCGCCATGTACATGGGTTTTTGTCGAATATTTTTGGTTAGAAACTTTACGTTTTTGCTATCTAAATTTCTTGTTTTTGTTTCGGATTTTTAGCTTAAATTATTTTTTCAAAACGTGGTTTTTGCAGATATTTTAGGCTAAAAGTTCGAAATGTAGACAAAACATTTAGGTAGTAATATGGCGGTGTGGAGTTTCTCGCCGCATTTGGCGACCTGAGGGCGCATATAAGTGTAGTTCCGTATTTTAAACTGTGAAATGCTAATAGATTGTGATTTTAATAGTGCTTTTTTTTAACAAATATTAAAAAAAATAAATAAAATATAATAGTGGTTATGTAAATCTATATCGACTAAGGGTATCTAACTACCTAGTTTAATTATTTGTAACTAACTGTTCACCTTTAACAGTTATCTCTGCATATTAAGGCAAGTTATTAACTCTACCTGCTATTTACTAAACCTCTAGACTGGGTAAGTACGTAACAAAATGAGAGAAAAAAATCAGCATAAAGCTAATTGTTAGTAAAGAGTAAATAGAATGTCACTAATCCTCTTTCAGATATGTCCAACTATTGTAAGTGTAAAATATTTAATGCTACTTAGTAAATAAATTTTATATAAAGTTGATTTTATCCTCAAATTTGTCTTATTTAATTTAATTAATGTTTAATAATAATGCATCCTACTTATGGATCTGTTTTATTCTTAGAGTGTTATTACAAAAGTGAAGTTACCTTTATTGAATTTATTCAGCTCCCATTTGCTGATAGCTCCTTAATTTTTTTCATTAATGTTCCTTAAAAGTTTTTAAGGTACTTTTCCGTTTTGCCGGCACAAGCGATAAAGTCGCCAATAATGGTACAACTGATGTCAAACGGAATATTCTCGCTGGTAGCCTTTTACGCCTCATTTTCAAAACAAGTCGCAGCTTTTTCTTATCAGATTGATTGCTTCTTTCAATACTGGCATAAAATTACATAGAATTTTTATCAGATAGTTCATTTTTATGTCTAAGGCCATTTTCGGTAATTAAGTCAATTAGGATGCAATCAGAGCGCTTACCCGAAGCCGAAAATATAGAAAAGGTAAAGTCAAGGGTTAAATTCATCAATTCTAACGAGAATGCATTAGCGAAGTAAAGCACTGCAGTTTTACATAATTTCTGAGTAAGCTATTCGTACGAATTGAAATATTTCTTGCATTTAAACTTGTGTTCCAAATCAAGATTTAACTTGAGATTAATGTAGATAATTCCTGAGAGCATTAGATTTTTGTAGAGTAATTTACGTGAGATGAGATTGCTTGGCGTCACGTGATATGAACCGGCGAATCAGGATGTTGAACCATAAAAGCATAGTAAATTCTTAAATTAATGTCTTTTTACAAATTTATTGTCTTTATTTATTGGCTTTTTATAAAATTTTAAGCGATATTAAAATGTTTATGCCTTCAAAAAAAGAATTCTTCGAACTAACATTTTTTATGTGTATATTGTATGTTGTCGCCAATAAAGTCTGCTTGGCAAGATTTGCACCGGCGAAATGGAAAAGTACCGTTTTTAATTTGCATGTGTACGGACCCTGATGATCATTTTTAAACTAATAAAATGCATATAAAATGATGCATTTGGCTATCTTTTATTTATCTCCAATGTTACATTACTGTAGATCCATCTAAACAGTATAGTGGTTAGGAGAACTGACTGCTATATTGAAGGGCCCAGGTTCGAATGCCAGAGAAGGCACAGTTGCTTAGTTTTGTTTATGTGCTTAAATCTGTATTTATAATGCTGTACTAAATCTCTTTATAATGCTCACTGTCTATTACAGTCTACACTGCCTATTATATAATAGCTCAATAAAGTATTTTTGTTTTTATTTGGTTTTTTAATCATATTTTTGTTATTTGAAATTTGTTTTATTGAGCCATGAAAAAATTAGTCCAACCTCAATTTACTTGAATCTGCCATATGTGATATTTTGATTGCTAATTAAATAAATGTATTTGAAATGCTGAGAAACTTTTGCTTGTTAATACAGTACAAAGTCCGTAATCCGGAATGATCTATAATCCGGATCTCGAAGCCACAAACTTTTTTTGTATGCTTTACGCATGCGCGTTTAATGTATAACGAACGGTATAAGCTAGGTTAAAATTATCTTTACCGATTATCCTTTTGGTCCTTTTATCAATATCCAACTACATTTAAAATTTTTTAATTTATGGTAATTTAAAAAATATTCTAAGTATGTTACCTCCATTTTGCATCATTAAAATTATGTGATCAAATAGACTTCTGTATACATGTTAATTCCTATTTCAGACAATTAGCAAGAACAACAAGATGCTTCAGCATCTTAATTATCGTATGAGAGTGACTCTGCAAGACAGTCGGATATTTATTGGCACATTTAAGGCATTCGACAAACACATGAACTTGATTTTGGGAGATTGTGAAGAATTCCGTAAAATTAAACCCAAGAAAAACAAAGATAGTGAGAAAGAAGAGAAAAGAGTTTTAGGGTTAGTTCTACTACGAGGAGAAAACATTGTTTCATTGACAGTTGAAGGACCTCCTCCAGCAGAAGTAAGTTAATAAAACATTGAATTCTATATGTGTTTTTATTTTGTTTATTTATTTAAATAAGGAGATTGATTTATGAAAAACCTCTAAACGATACTTATTATGGCATCCTCTGAGATTGAATAGCTTAACCAAGATATCTTGCCACATGTTTTTTATTAGCATCGTGTTTCATTTTTGCTAAAATTTTCAAATTTGTATCTGTTTTTAAAAAATATTCCTTAATTTTTTTGTGAATATACATTTAACAGTTATTAATTTACCAAATAAAGAGGTGGATGCCATATCGCATTTTTAAGAAAGAGTTCTTTTACATGAGAAATGAGTATATAAAAATAGCCATAGCAAGAAACTATATGTGAATAACGAAGCCATTTGGAGCTACAATGTTAAAAATCGTAAAAGGGAGGGTCTCCCTATTGGAAATTGGTGTACTGGTTCCAAAATATCATTGATCACTGCTATTAGATTTATGTATTTTTGGGTAGAGGTGCTGACATCCATCAAATGGTGTGATAGAGTACTTCCACAACGGTTCATTCTTGAAGGAATATGCTGGGAAGATGAGAATACTTTGTTATTCATATCTCAAACACAGGTGCTAATACACTAATGGAGAAAATTGCTCAACATGTGCAAGATGGATCAATGATCTATTCAAACTGCTGGAAGGATATAAAATGGAGCAACATGAAGAAGCTGACTACAGTCTCTTTAACGATTATTTAAAATCTTAGCAAACATCTGGGTATTATTTTTATTATTATATATTTATAGTTATTAGATGTGTTGTTTTATTTTATATTTGTACTTCACAAGTTTGGCGAAATCATAGCTGTGTAAAATCGGGGGCTGCTGTAATAAATAAGTACCATAAACTTATACAATCCAAATTTTTTATATGTTGTGCCATTTTATTTTTACATTTCACGAAATCATAGCTGTGTAAGGTCAGGGGCTGCTATAATAATGAAGTACCATAAACTTATAGGATCCAAATTTTTTTACCAGTAAATAATATAAGTTTTTATTAGTATGAAGTATAATATAATAAAAAGTTCAAAATCTGGATGTCACATAACCAAAATAATCTATTATTCAAATCTCCAAAATTCCCCCCCCCCTTTTCATCATCAACAGGGTTCGTAGCGGTCCTTACAAGTGCTTATAAGTCCTTATATTTGAAAATAAAATATAAAGGCCCTTGTAGGTGCTTACTTTTTCTTTAAAGCCCTTTTTTTTTTTTTTTTTTTTTTTTTGTTCTTATTTTTTTGCTTTTAGTGCTTTTTTTAATGAACGCGCTATTTCCCCACGTACCAAAGCCGAAACTAAATAAACAACTTTTCTTCCTTACATGGAACGTCAGATGGTGAATCATACTCCCGGAAATAGCTTTTCCCCCTTTCTTCGCATTAACGTAACCTATGGTAGGCACGAGAGTACAGACAGGTGCACGTCGTTCTATTGGTCAAAGAATTGCGAAAACCGTAGAAATTCCGGTACATTTGGTATTCTTTTCCTCCCACCCAAATACTACACATGTTTGAATTTCTATCAAGATTTTAATAATTTACATTCTCGTTCTGCGTGGTCAGTTCATATTCGTGTTTATTATGATCGTTATGCTTATATTGTGAGCATATGTATGAATATTTATAATATAGTTGCAGTAGCTACTGAAGTGTAGATAAACTTCCAAAAATGGGTTTATTTTTACACAGATTAGCTTTCTAATGAATAATATTCGGAATGGCTTAAATAAAACGAAAGTAATCGAATAGTCAGAAGATTTTTTTTCCCAATACATTATAAAGTACGGAGGTTGGGAGGTTCTCCCCTTTCTCTGCAGAATCTCTAATATTGAAGCAGCGGACTTTTTTTTTTTTTTTTTTTGTTTTTTTGTCACTGTCCAATCTGGATTGAATAGGACTAAAAGTTTTGCGGTCTACCCAACCCAAGCAAAGAATGATTCTATTCCGGAAATTTAACGGTCTGTTCAAAATTAGAATCAAAAACACCCCAGATTAGTAAGTCTCTTTCTTTTCCTTTATTTAGTTCTTTATTGTCCGAATACTGGCAGCTGTTGATTCCGATTGTGTAATATCACATATGGAAGAATTACGCCGCACGTATTGCGCAATAACGTTTGCGGTATTTTGCAGAGATAATTAATTTTGATGCTCAGTCTGAGATTTATTTATGAACACTTAAAAGGGTTTTACTGTTCTTTCTAAGCAGAATATTTCTCAGTTTTGTTGGTCTACTTTTATATGAAGCACATATCGGAATGTCAAAATCATTTATTTAGCCGAGCAATCTAAAAAAGGCTACTATCTCCCCTCCTCCTCTTTTTTCAGTTACACTCGACTATACGGAATATTTGGCAATTTCCGAGTATGCGGGTTAGTTAAGCTTTTACTGTTAAAGGATGACTGCATGAAGCAATTTCCCCTCTTCTGATTTCAGAAATGTTCCTCTTTTTTACTTAAATTACTTTGCTTGGAATATATGTTAAGGGAAAACAGTTATGCAATGGAAATTTAGAAAATGTTCAGAATTTTGATTAAATTCTTTAAATGTTAATATAAGAGAAAAAATAAGTTGTGTTTATTATTAGGTGCCAAGCGAATACAATTAATATGGCTTATTATTATTTATTTTCTATATTTTGAACTGAAATTTCATCATTAAATCTTGTAATATAGTTTAGTTCTGCATAGTGTTTTTTTTTTTTTCTCATTGTAAACGAATTATGTAAAATGAACTGTCATTTAAAATTAAAAAAAAAAGTTAATTGTTTTCCATGGTTGAGGTAATGCTTATTCTTTTAATAAATGTTGCATTGCTCATATTTTGAATTGCAAGTCTAATTTTTCTTTTAAGGTTATGCAGTTGTGTATAATGTAATTAGACAGGTGCTTATTTTTTTTTTCTTAAAATATGCTTGAAAAGTACTTATATGTGCTTATTTTTTTAACTAAAATGTGGCTATGAACCCTGATCAAGCACATCACCAAGCACTTGAAGACAAAAAGGTTTGTGATCGTGAAGATTAAAAAAAGTATAGGACAAAAGGAAAGGGTTAAAGTAGAGAGTATTTATGGTAGCCTGAGTAGTTAAATGTTATGGAAACCCTATTATGACAATCGGTTGCACGATTTCGATAAATTCATAATTGGATGTGTGTTGGTTAGGAAGTAATTGCTTGTTTTGTGGTTTAGATGGTAAAATGGCTGAATGCGGTAAGATTAATTTGAAGTTTCTGTACGATTTGGAAAGGGGAAAAGAACTGGCTGGTGTGTAAATGAAGGTTTACTTAGTAACATTATTAAATGTCCTGTTTGTAGGAAGGAAATGCCATATGGTCGAATGGCGCTACGGAGGATATTTTTTACTCTTATTTTGTGAATTTATGTGGTGATGCCAGTATACAGATTTTAGTTCAGATAATTTTAGGAAGTTTTTAGATGTTATTAAGGAATTTTGTTTGACTGAAGACATGTTAATTTGTAAATAAGGTAAGTAGATATTTCTTTTGTGTAGTGCAAGATGAATTTCCCTTTTTATGTTATTTCATTGTTTGATTTAAAATGTAGTTTATTGAGATTATATATTTTTTGTTGGCTGCTCCTTTCACTTTTTAAGTGAATACAGTTCGATGTGTACATGGGAGTAAGCAATGCCTAGCTATTGTCAAGGGAGTGAGCAATGCCTAGTTTGTGCAATTCTCTGGTGCTTTTTTAAGTGAAAAATAGGTTGATGTGTACATGGATAAAGTAAAGGGAGTGCAAAGCCTAGTTTGTGCAATTCAATGATATTTTGTTATCTATTCTATGATATTTTGTTATCTATTCTATGATATTTTGTTATTATTCTATGATATTTTGTTAAGTGAATCGGTCGTTATGTACATGGATACCGAGTTTGTGCAGTTCTTTGTCTTGTTATTTTGTCTTTGTGTAGTGGCATTTTTTGGCGCAAAAATCACCGCTACATAAGCCAAAATAACAAGTCAAAGAATTGCACAAACTTGGTATCCATGTACCACTAAAAATCACCAATTTTCACCACCATATAGTGCTTTGTAAGAAAATTACAAGAATTTAAATTGCTAATGGTGCTCAAAAATGACAAATCTTGAATAATTTTTTTGAATTTTTTGAAGTTTTTGAATTATCAGAACAAATTATTTATTCCACTTTTGATCAGTATATTTATTTGTCCTCATGATTTACCCCCTACTGAAACGTGAGCGATGTCATGTTGAACATCTAATATTATCTTTGTCTGATGTAATTTAGAAAATTATGAATGGCAACAGTGGATGTTTCTTATATTTACATTTTCAGCTTGTTCTTTTTATTAGAAAATGAGAAAAATAGCTTCGAGTTGCATTTCATGTGTATTTAAGAATTAATGAGTATTATCTTATACCATTTTATATTTTGAGTGTTGTTTGAGATGTCGGAGCTAGAATTATCACTTATTAGATTTGTAAAATAAACTGTTTATGCTGTCTCGAGATGTTTCATTGAATAATTGATTACACTTATTTCCATTACTAATTCTTCTAATGTTTGAAGGCGAAACAGAACAAGCAATTGAAATTTGACTAAGCAGGATAGAAAGTAAAATCTCTGGTCCACCAGAATTTCACCATTAACAGTAGAAGTACCTATAGTGAACTATCACACTAACTGCATAGCTCCACCCCAATTTTGACATACAATGCTCCAAGAGGACAGATATATTTCCTGTTACCAAACCATTCCAGAGAGCTTTTGCCTCATCAGTACAAAACAATAATGCAAGTAAAATAAGCTAAAATTAATGAATCATTTCTATTTTCAAAGCAATACTCAGAATGAAAATAAAATTCTAGAACAAATAATTTTTAGAAATTTTAACACATCACAGATTTTTATTTATTTCCACCCTACTGTAAGAGTGCTATGAGCGAGATTAAAAAATGATAAAAATATTTTCAGTCATGCTTAAAATTA